TGACCATAATTCGATTCATCAATATCAACATGACTTTGATAATTACTACTACTACCAGCATTCCCATGAGTATTACTGCCATATCCTTCTCCATGTAGATACCAAACAAAATATTGCGGCATAAACCCTCTATTTAATAAATGCGTCCACACGGTTTTGGTTAGTGTATACCTCGTATTCTTGCATTTCAAACAAGGACAAAACATCTTCCCACTATCTTTCGTTCTCTCCATATTTGTAGCCTGATACATAAATATTTCTAACCCGTTCTTGAACTCTTCTGTCAACGCCCCATCTGAATCTTTACGCATATACATCCAACTTCTTAGCTCGTATATAAACATCTTGAAAATAAACTCACAATACTATCTCTTTTTATTGATTAGACAATAAAGGAGGTAGTCTCTTGTGTCACGTCTAGCCACGTGAATGGAGTAAATTAACCTTATAATATTATTACTTCTTTTTTTTCAAAGTAATATAACTCTTAATTCGGGTTTCCAGCAATGGACAACCCAATATATAAGGATTTACAACACTATACTAAAATTCAAGAGACCTACAATGGGTCTCCAAGATGAAGATGCTCTTATGTTTGAATGATGATGAGTTGTGATTGAATGAAGGAATGAAGATCTATTTATAGGAAAATTTTGGGCTTTACAACGCTTTTACGACGACTTTTTACGACGGTTTTACATTCAACAATAATATTACGACAAGTTTACGACGATTTTGCGATAAATTTTTTCATCTACAATTGTTAGGTAAACATGTTTTAAATGTTTTTCACCTAACTTCTTTTTCGACGTAAAATCGTCGTAATATGTACATCGAAATGAAGTCGTCGTATATTCGTCGTAATTTTGCATCGAATTTACGACGATTTTACATTTACTAGCAAATCTCTCGTTATCGATGTATAATCGTCGTAATTCGTCGTAAATTGTACGTCGAGTTTACGACGATTTTGTTATACGACGGTTTTACGACGGTTTTAAAATTCGACGTAAGATCGTCGTAAACGCGTTGTAATGTTGCGACGATTTAAAAACCGTCGTAATGGGCTGTTGGAAAACGATTGTTTTCTTGTAGTGTAATATGAACAAATCCATATGGATAATAAACATGTGCCAGTCCATGATATAATTATCGACATTTTTAAGCATTATATTTGCTTATATATATATATATATATCCATATGGATAGTAAACATGTGCCAGTCTATTATTTACTTATCGAATTTCTAAGCATTGTGTATACACATAACATGGTCAAATCTATATGCATAGTAAATTTGTGCAAGTACATGGTTTATTTTACTGTTAAACAACCAACAAGCGTCGACATTAGTAAGCAATATGTATAATATATGCACATAACATGGTTATATTCGCTTGGAAAATTAGATATCTTGTCTATACAAACATATCCACAAGTCCTTGTCCAAACAACAATTTTTCATCATAAGCTCTTTATCATAAAAAAATAAATATATTGGGCCCCTTTCAGAATGATATTTTAAAAAATTTGACAAAGATCTTTGGGCTATCGCACCTCTGCCTACTTTCTTTGACCGAGCCTGATAATGATTATATCCACGTGTTTTTTCCACCTGTAATCTCCATACAGATATATCCACATATTTTGGTCATACAGACACAACCACATGATTTTATCCATTTGAATTTACTCAAAGAAGCAAGGCTTCAATTAGAATATTGTGATTTTCATTTTGCCTATCCATGTCTATATGGTAATATTCATCCATATCAACATATATACAAACAGATAAAGAAAAACTTGCAAAACCAATCATAAATGTGGATATTACGATTTTAAAAAGGTATTAGGCCTCACATTTACTGCTTCGTGGATAAGATAAGAATTTAACACCACCCACAAATCTAATTTTGATAGCTGTGAAAAAATAATTAATAAAAAGAAATTAATATTTACTTTTCTTGGTAAAAGTAAAATTCCAAATAAAATAACAATGTTTCAATTCATATCATTTTTCAATACTTTTCGACCACTTCCATCTCCCCTTATATACACCAAAGGCCATCAATATATGATTTCATCTGACATCTTAAGCTAATAAGTTCTCTTCAAACGGCTTACACTCTCTCACAAAAGAGCTGCTTTCAAACAAAGTACACCCATCACCCGAAAATAATATCTCATTCAAGATCTACGGATATGGCCACTCCATGTAACATAACATCCCTCCCTTCAGATCTTTTGAACGAGATCCTTCTCAAAACGGCTTCTTCTTCGTATGGAGATATTTGTCGAGCAAGAATTTCTTCCAAAACTCTAAACGACATTTCTAATGAAGAGGGTTTTAACAAATTCGTGGATTTAATCTCTTTGAAAACACCATGGGTTTGGGATCAACATGGGAGGATGACTACTTTCTTTGGATGCTGCTTGGAGTCGGGCAATCCAACCTCGTTATTCCTTAGAGGTGTATCTGTCTTTTTAATCTACAAGCAGGGTTGGCTTTAATTAAAGAAGCATCAGACGCTGGATGCCTTATGTCTACATACTGTCACACTATGCTTTGTCTAACCATGGAAGGCAGCGATGAAGTATTCAACTCCAGTATTGATCTTTCTTGCAGTGGAGATGAGAATTGCTATGAACCGCAGCAACAAGCGTCCGTGGAATTTTATCATTCGGGCCGAGATAGAAGATAAGATGAACGAGTTGTTCGAAAAATCTTACAAATGGAATTGTGTTTGTAGGAAGCTCAATCTTTGGATTAGTAGGCAAAAACTGGAAGCTCTTTATGTCGAGCAGCTTTGCGATCCCAGCTTTTGGAAATTAGAGGCAGCTAAGTTCTGGAAAATCATCCCTGAATTTGCAATGGAATGACCTCATTGGTTGTCTTCTTTATTTAGCGAATATATCTTTTGTTCTACTTTATTTACGCCTTCAGTCATGTTTTAGACAAAATCTATTTGCATTTTTTATTTCCGATTTCATCCTCCTTATCTTTTATATGATTATGTTTTTTTGCATAGTTCCTTTTATAAATTTATCCACCGGTAAAACAATTGTGTTTGTCTCTTATTAAAATTACTCAATTAGGAAATGCAAACTCAAAAATCAACACCATATTTTTTTAATTCAGATAAGAACAATTACGTATAATATTATATAAGCGACCATATGGACGGATATGTTTGGATGTATAAAAAAAATTATTATTCTTCTAACAAGTAACATAAGTTGAGGCCTCTTACATAGCATCCCCTCATCCATATGGACATATACGCTTGGATGTATAACAAATTCATTGTTCTATTAACAAGTATAACATGAGTACATAGGCCTCTCACTTATCAACACTTCTTCCATATGGATATGTTCATATGGATATTTGATATGACCTTATTAGATCAAACAATTACAAACCAACACATCGGCAAATACTGCCCTACCTCAATCTTATAATTACCAAAAATGTACCAGACCGAACCAACTTCCTACTTTTGCTGATTGGGGCTGGTACCACCACATCCACATCTGTACTTTAGCTTGTTATTTCTTTGTTCGATGTTGGAATTAACTACTGCTTTATCATGTTTTTTTTCCCGAAAAGCTGATGTTTGTTGCATTTGTTTTGATTTGTCTCTGTTTTTTGTAGATGGATTTTTCATCCAAACCACCTGCTGATAACACAAACACCGACGACCATGTTGATAAAGATCAAGAAGAAAACACCACTCGAGGCAAACGAAAGAAGCATGATTCAGGGAAAGATCCCGAGCCTTCAAAACCGAGAAAGCTCCTTGACACAAGATCGGGTGTTTGGAATCATTTCACAAGAACAAAGGAAAATCGAGACAAATGCACGTGCAACTACTGCCAGAAGTTTTATTCTTGCTCAACAACATCCAAGACTTCTAATTTGAAATTTCATCTTGGCATCTGCAAGCACTTCAAGGCATTTCAAGAGGGTTTAAGTCCGAGAGAGGGTGTCATAAATCCGAGTGGTGGTCTGGGCTTTGCAAAGGTTCCAGAGGATGTTTTTCACGAAGCGACTAATGAAGTGGTTGTGATTGGAGAGATGCTATTGTCCTTTGTAGAATGTGATGCATCGAACATTTATGCGAGAAGGTGAAACTATATAAGCCTCGGTCAAGAAGAACATCAACAAGGCACATTGTTCAAATGTATGTGGTAAAGAAGAAAACTTTTGAAGCAGTACTTCATGGATAACAGGCAACGAATTTTACTAACAACAGACATATGGACTTGTCAGCCAACAGGTAATGATTTTTTATTTTTATGTTTTCATTTTCAATCGGTTTAGGTTTTTTATTACAAAAAAACTTTATAATCGATTTTTTTTTTTTGCTGTAAAGGTGCGAGTTATATGGCTATCACAGCACATTTTTTTGATGAATTTTGGAGGCTTAAATTTGGTTCAAGCACATCACAGACACAACCACATGATTTTATCCATTTAAATTTATTCAAAGAAGCAAGGCTTCAATTAGAATATTGTGATTTTCATTTGCCTATCCATGTCTATATAGTAATATTCATCCATATCAACATATATACAAACAGATAAAGAAAGACTTGCAAAACCAATCATAACTGTGGATATTACGATTTTAAAAAGGCCGGTATTAGGCCACACATTTACTGCTTCGTGGATAAGATAAGAATTTAACACTACTCACAAATCTAATTTTGATAGCTGTGAAAAATAGTTAATAAAAAGATATTAATATTTACTTTTATTAGCAAAAGTAAAATTCCAAATAAAACAACAATGTTTCAATTCATATCATTTTCCAACACTTTTCGACACCTTCCATCTCCCCTTAAATACACCAAAAGCCATCAATATATGATTTCATTTGGCATCTTAAGCTAATAAGTTTTCTTCAAACGGCTTATACTCTTTCACAAAAGAATTGCTCTCAAACAAAATACACCCATCACCCCGAAAATAATATCTCATTTAAGATCTACAGATATGGCCACTCCATGTAACATAACTTCCTTTCCTTCAGATCTTTTGAACGAGATCCTTCTCAAAACAGCTTCTTCTTCGTACGCAGATCTTTGTCGAGCAAGAATTTCTTCCAAAACTCTAAACGACATTTCTAATGAAAAGGGTTTTAATAAATTCGTGGATTTAATCTCTCTGAAAAAACCATGGGTTTGGGATCAACATGGGAGGATGACTACTTTCTTTGGATGCTGCTTAGAGTCGGGCAATCCAACCTCGTTATTCCTTAGAGGTGTGTATGTCTTTTTCTACGAAGAAAATCTACAAGCAGGGCTGGCTATAATTAAGGATGCATCACACGCTGAATGCCTTATGGCTACATACTGTCACACTATGCTTTGTCTAACCATGGATGGCAGCGATGAAGTATTCAACTCCAGTATTGATCTTTCTCGAGCTGATGCAGTGGAGATGAGAATGGCTATGAACCGCAGCAACAGGCGTCCGTGGAATTTTATCATTCCGGCGAGATAGAACTAAGATAAGGTGAATGAGTTGTTCGAAAAATCTTACAAATGGAATTGTGTTTGTAGGAAGCTCGATCTTTGGATGGGTGGGCAAAATCTGGAAGCTCTTTATGTCGAGCAGCTTTGCGATCCCTGCTTTTGGAAATTAGAGGCAGCTAAGTTCTAGAAAATCATCCCTGAATTTGCAATGGAATGGCCTCATTGATTGTCTTCTTTATTTGGAAAATTCATCTTTTGTTCTATTTTATTTACGCCTTCAATCATGTTTTAGACAAAATCTATTTGCATTTGTTATTTCCGATTTCATTCTTCTTATCTTTTATATATAATATTTTTGTGCATAGCTCCTTTTATAAATTTATCCACCGGTAAAACAATTGTGTTTGTGTCTTATAAAAATTATTCAATTACGAAATACAAACTCAAAAATCAACACCATGTTTTTTAATTCAGATAAAAACAATTACGTATAATATTATATAAGCGACCATATGAACGGATATGTTTGGATGTATAAAGATAATTATTATTCTTCTAACAAGTAACATAAGTGTAGGCCTCTTATATAGCATCACCTCATCTATATGGACATATACGCTTGGATGTATAACAAATTCATTGTTCTTTTAACAAGTATAACATGAGTACGTAGGCCTCTCACTTATCCAAACTTTATCCATATGGATATGTTCATATGGATATTTGATATGACCTTTATAGATCAAACAATTACAAACCAACACATCGGCAAATACTGCAATACTTCAATCTTATAATTACCAAAAATGTACCAGACCGAACTGACTTCCTATTTTCGCTGATTGGGGCTGGAACCACCACATGTACTACAATACGTTTTGATCTCAAGTAATGAAGATGCCAACCCTCTCCTGCCTCACATAGGGCTGGGCGAAAAAACTGAAACCAAACTATTTAACCGAACTCGATCAAAAAAATTCGGTTCGGTACGTGTTCGGTTCTGGCTAAAAATCCGAATGGTTATTGAAGCTGGCCAATTTTCAGTTATCGGTTTGGATCAGTTATTAACCGATAACCGAAATAAACCAAACTAATAAAAATAAATTTAAAACAGAGATAAACCAAAATCCCTAAGTCCTAAATTTTCCTAAGCCCACCTGATACTAATCTTCCCCTTTCTGTGATTTCAATCGACAAATCCCTAATCCCAAACTGGAATCCTGAAATCGAGCTGCTCCTGAAACACCCCATCCCGGACTTTAAGCCCGTGGAGTTTGTTCCCGGTCGGACCGCTATACGGCTCCGACCCCATCAGTCCAATTTAGGGTCTAGTTCTTTATTTAATCTATGTTCGATGTATATATTATGAGATTCACTAACATAGAGTCGATATGTAATAAACAAGTAAGAGAACATATATTTTATTGATATAATAAAGGATTCAATACAACTTAAGAGTTTGCATATAAGCTATTATAAGTTCGCATGATCCTAACTATCTGTTCCATCACACCACCCATCATCCTTGGCTAAACGGTCTGCGCGCCTATCCTTTTTCCTTTCCGCGTTCATCGCTTCATGTAAACTAACGTCATAAGTACATGTTATTTTGGCTAAGTATTATTCATGCACATGTATGCGTTTTATGCTCATGATTTCCCGACCCTTTTTATTAACCCACGATCTATTTTTCCGATCCGGATCATGGGTCAGCCTTGGACCGGCCGAGTCTCGGTAAGATCGGCCCCGCCTATCAAAAACGCTCGCCAGCCACGCCGACCGGATCCAAACTATACTACACAGCCGATCGCGCACTATCGTCGGCCCAAATCTCAATTCCATGGCCGACGACTTGTTGGGATTTCAGCCGGGTCACACAAACGGATCGGCCTAGCCCATACTTGGGCCGATCATTTAATGCGCTCGGTGAAACACTTATCGGTTCGACCGAGACTCATCATCTGATCGGCCTAGTCCATACTTTGGCCGATCATCAGATTCGTCCGGCGAACCGACAATTTGACCGCGCGCGCTTACAACTTTAACACATACCTTTAGTCACTTGCGGTCGCTTCGCCGCACTTATCACTTCCCTTCTTTCTCCGCGACCCGCACCAGCCGCTCCGGTCGGTTTCTTTTACCGCCGGACAGGTTATTTCTCTCTCCCGATTTTCTTTAGTCTCACGGTTTGGTAGAAATTTGGGCAGAGTTTCTCTCCCTGTTTGTGCGTGTCTAAAAATGGAGACAAGGGGGTCTATATATAGATTTCCCCTTGTTGTAACCACCTTAAGCAAACTAGTAACCCTAAACCCTTCGGCCATAACCGCCCAAGTCCAGCCAGCTCACTTACCACTCAGCTGGACCAACTGTATTATACTCTTCCCAACTGAGCTGAGCTTCCCGGAAGCTGATCCAGCTAGCTTAGTTTACCCCTTCCAGCTCGTCTTAGCTCAATCCTACTCGTTGAGCTATCTTTCTTTCTTTTTCTTTGCTAAGTCCCACGCTAACGAACTTAACCCATCCTTCTGGACCATGACTCATGTTCTTCCTTAAAATTTCGGCCATTGTTTCCCGCTTCACGGCCATGGTCCGTCCCGGCGACCCTATTGCGGATCGGGGACATTACAAGTCTCCCTCCTTGAAAGGGATTCGTCCTCGAATCCGGGGTAAGGGTAGAATCTTGTTCCATTCCTCGAACCACTCGGGATAATCAGCCTTCATCCAATACTCTGTTTCCCAAGTTTCTTCTTCCACACCGTTACTTTCCCAAATGACATTGACCATCAGAATCATCTTTTTCCTTGTTGCTTTTTCCATCTTGTCAATGATCCGGACTGGTCTTGTTTCCACAGTCAGATTCCCTTTAAGGTTTGAAGGAATCTCGGCCAGGACTTTATCTTGATCCGTTAAGCACTTCCGTAGTTGGGATACATGGAAAGCGTTGTGGAATGCCTCCATCTCCGGCGGTAAGTCTAACTTGTATGCGACGGCCCCAAATTTTTCCACAATCTTGAATGGTCCTATGTACCTTGGATCAAGCTTCCCCCTCTTGGAAGTTCGAGCCCTTCCTTTGGACATGATCATCTTAAGATAGACCAGATCACCCACCGCAAATTCAAGGTCTTTCTGACGCTTGTCCGCATAGCTTTTCTGTCTGTCTTGGGCTTCCTTCATTTTTATCTTTAGGAACTTGATTCTTTCCGTTGTTTTCTCCACAATAGCCGGTCCAATTGCACTCCGCTCCCCCACTTGGGTAAAAAAAAACAGTGTTCGGCACGACCGCTTATATAAGGCTTCATACGGCGACATCCCAATGCTGGCTTGGAAACTGTTGTTGTAAGCGAATTTGGCTAAGGGTAAATACTTCTCCCATGAACCGCCCCAATCCAGAACGCAAGCCCGTAGCATGTCTTCGAGGATTTGTATGGTCCGTTCTGACTGACCGTCTGTCTGCAGTTGGTAAGCTGTGCTCATGTTCACTCTTGTTCCTAAGGCCTTTTGAAAAGTCCTCCAGAAGAAAGACGTGAACCGAGAATCCCGGTCTGAAACTATGCTTGCCGGAACACCATGCAAACGGACTATTTCATCCAGATACCTGCCCACAATGTGTTCAACACCATCCGTCTTCTTAATTGCGATGAAGTGAGCAGACTTAGTTAATCGATCCACCACAACCCAGACTGCGTCATGTCCGGTCCTTGTTCGGGGAAAACCAGTCACGAAATCCATCGTTACATGGTCCCATTTCCACTCCAGAATGGGTAAACTCTGTAGCAACCCACTCGGGACTTGATGTTCCGCCTTTACCAGTTGACAAGTAGGACATCCTTTCCACCCACTCAGCCACGTCCCTTTTCATCCCGACCCAATGATAATACTGTTTTAGATCCTGGTACATCTTGTTAAGTCCGAGATGAATCGAGAAGTTAGACTGATGCGCCTCCCTAAGGATTTCTTCCTTTAACTCTTTCACCTCTGGAACACATACCCGGCCGTTAACCACAATCGTGCCATTGTTTGAGGTTTGGTACTCCGTCTTCCTGTTCTGCACAGCCTTGCACAAGATCTCATCTTTTCCTTGTGCAATCCGAATCCGGGTAAACAGGTTATCTTGGTCTGCCGCTCCTAAGCCCAACGGTTCCGGTTCGGTGGACAAGGCATTAAGTTGCATGTTTACTAGCATCTCCGCTTCTTTTCCCGCAGCCACTTCGGACCGTCTTCTGCTCAGAGCATCCGCAACTAAGTTAGCTTTGCCAGGATGGTAAGCTATATCCAAGTCGTAATCCGCCACAAGTTCCATCAACCGCCTTTGCCTTAGGTTTAATTCAGGCTGCGTGAAGATGTACTTCAGACTCTTATGGCCGGTGTAGATTTGCACTTTAGCTCCATAGAGATAAGATCGCCATATCTTAAGTGCAAAAACTACTGCCGCCATTTTCAAGTCGTGGGTTGGATAATTCCCTTCGTGTTTCCGTAACTGCTTTGATGCATAGGCGATCACCTTTCCTTTTTGCATAAGGACACATCCCAGCCCGTTTATAGATGCATCTGTGTACACCACATACGGCTCGTCTATTTCCGGTAAGGCTAAAACCGGTGTGCTTGTTAATTTTTCCTTCAGCCCGGCGGAACTCTTTTCACACTCCTCCGTCCACGTGAACTTCACATCCTTCCCGGTCAGCCGTGTCAATGACTTGGCTAAACTCGAGAATCCATTCACAAACTTCCTATAATATCCCGCCAAGCCAAGAAAACTCCTTATTTCCGAGGCGTTCTTGGGTCTTGGCCATTCTTCAATGGCTTTAATCTTATCCGGATCCACCGATACACCCTGGTCCAAGACAATATGTCCTAAGAACCCAATACTCCTTTGCCAAAATCTACATTTGCTCAATTTTGCATATAGCTTTTGGTCCCTTAGTCGCTGCAACACCGCTCTCAAATGACTTTGATGCGTTTCCCGGTCTTTTGAATAAACGAGAATGTCATCGATGAAAATGATAACAAACTCGTCCAGACAATCACGGAAAATCCCGTTCATCATCTTCATGAAGGCTGCTGGCGCGTTGGTCAATCCGAATGGCATAACCACAAATTCAAAGTGGCCATACCTAGTCCAGAAAGCCGTTTTGCGCACATCCGAAGGCTCTATGGGAATCTGATGATATCC